TTTAAGTAATACGTAAACAATAACAATAGCCCGCAATACATGACCCTGACACTAATCCTTTAAGGTGCCATTAAAACGATAATTGGGTCAAAACCGGACTTAATTAATATTTCTGTATATGAAATTGTTATTTAATTCTACATGTCCAATGATTCATTCAAGTATTATTATTGTTTATATATAATATGATGTTGTACAGTATTCAGTGGCAAGCTAGCTACAATGGCAACTGGTCATGGCACAGCTATAAACCTGGATCTATTTGAATAATGCAAATCATTAAAAACTTGCATACTGTGGCATGACCTGTTGGTATGGCTAGCTCACTGATCTAATAGATCAGTGGGCTAGCTTCACCACTGACAATATTATAATTATAAATACAAAATATTCAAATAGTTGAATAATGCAAATCATGAAAAACTTGCATACTGCAGCATGACCTGTTGGTATGGCTAGCTCACTGATCTAATAGATCAGTGGGCTAACTACACCACTGACAGTATTATAATTATAAATACAAAAGCAAGAACGTATAAGCATTGCAGGTATTCATATATGTAAAACTGTCCATGCCAAGAAAGTAGAATTAGAACATTTAGCTGACCTTTGACCTTGTGGAAGGTGTTTGGTATTCAAATTGCACTTTTCCTACTTCCTGGGCTGTTCACATGATGGAGGTTGGGCTGATTTTTGATGTATTGAAATAAGTCACCAGGTTAAACAAAAGTTTAAATGCTTGTTAACAGAACTTAAATATTGTAGAGAAGATCATGTGTACATTCAAAAAATGAGAACAGATTTACCATTTAGCTCGAACACGCCGACACGCGGCGATTATTTAGGATATAAATCGATAAAAATCGAAAGCATTTTGTCGATGAAAATCGATGAATATCGACAATAATCGATAAAATTGGCTATAATTTTTTGTGACTATCGATTGGCCATCGGTTGATCAATGTGAACTGATATCAATTAAGTAATTAACATCGATTACCATCGATTGATCGATTGGATTTCCGATGATCGGTTTTTATCGATTAAGTACGCCGCGTATAAATTTTAAAATTTTAAATTTAAAATTTTTTAAATTTTATTGTTAAATATCCATCTTTGGCATATAGAAATACAATGGATTTACAAGTTAAAAATATATACTAAAATACATGTATAACCTATGAGAATGTAAAAATTAGAAAGTTTAAGAAGTTTTTATATACATATGTACAATGATCTAATTTCATGAGTTGGTTAATCTACACAGCCCTTGGGATAAAAGACGTACTATGCCTGTGTGTTTTTGAGAGCTGTCTTGAAGTGCTGTCTCTGGTCCTTCTCAGTTCGTAAGTGTGATTCTTATTACGAGATAGGAAACGATTACATGGGTTTTTTGGGACTTCCACGATCCTTTTTAGCTCGTTGCATGTTGCCTTGTCCCTTCTTTCTTTTAGTGTAGGGAGGGTATCTTTCTCAAGTCCTAGGATTCTCAAGCTTCTTTGTTGAACACGTTCAATTTCTGCTTCAAGATATTTAGGGATTCCGCCCCAAACTAGAGAGGCGTATTCAAGTATTGGCCGGATCTTCGACGTATATGTTAATAAACCAATCTCGGGTGGTAGGAAGGATTTTCTGCACTCTCTGAGAAGGAATAATAGCTTATTTGCTCTTTTTGTTATTTTACAAACATGGGTATTCCACTTTAAGTCATTTTGCACCCATACACCGAGAAGTTTGAAGGAGTTTACTCTTTCTATTTCAATTCCATCCGTTTGTATAGGTGGGGGTTCAGAAGAGGATTGGGAAAAACTGATCCACATGTCCTTAGTTTTTTGGGGGTTCACCATCATTTTATTATCATTGGCCCAATTCATCACTTGATTAGTCGATTCCTGCATATTTGAAAGGGCTCCGTTTGCAACGACCTCATCAAGAGTGCAGTCGTCTGCATACTTGTGCGTGTTTGTAAGGTTGTTTGTTAACGTGTTTTCCAAATCATTGATATGAATATTGAACAGTGTTGGAGAAATAACGGAGCCTTGCGGGACTCTAGCTGGACAGGGGGCGCTTGAAGATATAACACCATGTAAATTCACATGTTGAGTCCGCTCTGTAAGGAAACACTTCACCCATGACCAGAAGGCCTTCGATACATTCATTTCCGCTAATTTTATTAATAGAATTCTATGGTCGACAAGGTCGAATGCTTTTTTGAAGCCCAAGAACGTAGTATGGACCCCTTTTCTTCCAATATTGGAGTTATCTGTTACGTCAAACCACTTCTGGGTCATCGAAATCAGGGCTGAAACAGTAGAT